GTGATTGTACAACTTTTGACGAATTTTTGAAATTACGGAGTTTAAGGGTCAAAAATTGATATACTTCGATAGACCTAAATGTGATTGTACAATTTTTGACGAATTTTTGAAATTACGAAGTTTAAGGATCAAAAATTGATACGCTTCAACAGACCCAAAAAAAAAAAAGGAAAGAAGCATTCTTAAAATTTATATTATGTAGAAAATTTTCAACATTCAACGAAAATTTCGATGATGACGAAACAAGAATCTAATGTTAAAATAAGACGATAAATAATGTTTATTTTTCAAAAATTTGAATAGACTATTTGAATAACTTATTATTAAAATTGTTTACTAATATATGTGCAAAGATTATTTTCACAATCTCTTACAATTCATAAATTTCAATATGTGTTGAAATTTTGTTTACAAATATTTCTCAAACAGTTTTTATTATTAATAATATGAAAAAGTAATTTCAAATAATTATTGCAATTGAATTCGATAAAATTATTAGAGCAAAAATTTTAGCTTTTATAAGTGACGGAATAAAATTCTGAAAGATTTTTTTCAAAAAATTTAAAATTATTTTTTTTTTTAAATATTTAATATAGTTAAAAAAAGATGTGGTGGCAAATGACGATAAAATTCTTTAACGTAATTACTAATAATTATTTTGACGTTATCATGATAAATTCTATGGCGTACCCTATGTAATATGTACGTTTGCATGTGTGTATGTATACCTTTGTGCATATTCCTAAATTAGCAACTCATTCAGGTAAAATTCTTTAACGTAATTACTAATAATCATTTTGACGTAATCAAGGTAAATTCTATGACGTACCCTATGAGATATATATATGTCTGTATGTGTGTGTGAAATTTTTTAACATAATTACTAATAATTTTTTTGACGTAATCAAGGTAAATTCTATGACGTTACCCTATGAAATATATATGTCTGTGTGTTGTGTATGTATCTTTATGCGTATTACTAAATGAGCAGTTCATCCAGATAAAATTCTTTAACGTAATTACTTGTTTTAACATAATCAAGGTAAATTCTATGACGTATCCTATGAAATATGTACGTCTCTGTGTGTGTGTATCTTTATGCATATTCCTAAATTACCAACTCATTCAAATTACCTTGATCAATTAATGCCAATTAATTTTAATGGGAAAAATTACATCAAAATCTTTTCGGAATTTTACAAATAAAAAAATTAAGAGTTTTAAATCTTAGTTTCAAATTGTTGTTTATAAATAATCGAGCAGCGGTAGCGTTTGTTAATGAGCATTAATAAATGAATGTGATGGAACGAAAACGATCGCATAATATCTGTAAATAAAACGAAAAAGAAAATTCAATGCATATTTGAAAATTTAAAATAAAATTTGAAATTGCCCTCTATAAAAAAATAATGTATACAAAATATGTGTGTGCATATCAAATATGCAATAAATTTAATATGGCAATTCTAACTAAATATGGGTTACTTATAGGGTCTAAAAATAGAATGTAATCAGTTTAATCGTCTTTTCTCACTTTGTTCATCGAATAATGAAATTTTATTGATCCGGATTATCCGGATTTCTTTTTTTTTTTTTTTTGCAGGATGATAACTAGTTTTCATGTTTTATTTAAAATTTCGAAAATTTTCTTCACCAAAATTTAGGTTTAAATTGATCATTATCAATATGTAACATTATTTTAAAATACCCAATTTAATTCTAGTTTTCCTAAATTTCTTTTAATTATTTATTTTTTGAAAATACAAAAGAAAAAATGGAAACATTAAATTAAAATTAATTTTATTCCCTATTAAAAATTTTTGTTTTGATATTTCGAAAGATAAATTTTGAATGTTTTAATTCTTCCTTATTGATATTTTGATAGTGATAAATGAAATTATCATTTACTGATATTGATTATTGATATAGATTAATTTCATTTATTGATAGTGATTATTGATATTGATTAATCTCATTTACTGATATTGATTATTGATATAGATTAATTTCATTTATTGATAGTGAATATTGATATTGATTAATCCCATTTACTGATATTGATTATTGATATAGATTAATTTCATTTATTGATAGTGAATATTGATATTGATTAATCCCATTTACTGATATTGATTATTGATATAGATTAATTTCATTTATTGATAGTGATTATTGATATTGATTAATTTCATTACTCATAACATTTATATTACCTTTAGAGAGATAGCTTTAAAAATTTTGATTAATTTCATTTACTGATATTGATCATTTATGTTGATTAACTTAATTAACTGATATTGATTATCAATGTTGATTAATTTCATTATTCATAACATTTATATTAGCTTTAGAGAGATAGTTTCAAAATTTTCAAACATCCTTTTGATCATTATTTCTGTGGTTTTTGAATTTTTGAAAAGAAAAGCAAAAGACAAAAGGAAATTTGAAACAATTGTTTTAGTTTAGAAGGGTAGGATTGTAAAAATGAAGGCAAACAAAGGTTATTTGAGGTCGATTGTGCGCCTATCTTCATTTTCAATATTCCCCTATTAGAATAATTGTAATAATTTAGCTGTTTAAAATGTTTGTAAAAATGCTGTGATAAGTGTGGTAAGAAAGATGATCTGTGAGCGATCGTTTCCGCACATACACACACACACACACACACACACACACACATACACACACATATATATGATTGTAATATAATTTAACGATTGAATTATTTCTGACATAAGTTGTAATTTATTGCTTACATTTCAACTAATATTATTTAATAGGTGCATTAAATCTAATAAATTATATGCTTTATAATTTATTGCACTATTTTTCCATCAATGTTATATCGCTTTTTTTTTAATCGTTATTTTTATATCAACAATATAATTTATCATGATATATATAATCATCATTATTGTGACGAGATTACACATGTATATATCGGAATACAGTTAGTCACAATATATAATTATCATTGTCATAGTGACACACACACATATATATTGAAATACAATTAATCAGAATACATAACTATTATTTTTATAGCGATACATAATATCAGAATATAGTTGATTCGCAATATATAATCATTTATTATTATAGTGATATATTATAATAATAATCATTATTTTTATAGCGATATATAATATCGGAATATAGTTGATTGGCAATATATAATCATTTATTATTATAATGATATATTATAATACATAACAATCATTATTTTTATAGCGATACATAATATCAGAATATAGTTGATTGACAATATATAATCATTTATTATTATAGTGATGCAGAATTTTCAGATCATACTGCAGAATTTTCAGATCATACTAATAATTTGGATCAAATTAGTTGTTGCAATATAATTATTATTATAGCAATTCATTTTTATAAATTATATTGAAAATATTTTGATAGTTATAAGGGATAGTTATTTTATTAAATATTAAATAAATATTTTGATAGTTATATGGTATAGTTATTTAATAAAATAACTATCCCTTATAACTATCAAAATATAGCGATCAAGAGAATGGTTTTTGCATAAAAATTCCTATAGCGATCACGAGAATAGTTTTTGCATAAAATAGCGGAAGAGTTCAAAGAATAGTCAATTTCATTTCTTTTTGTAAAATGAAAATTTGTCAGTATTTTATGTTTACTCTTCTCAGGTATTATAATAACAACAGTAAACAAATATTTTATTATAATAAAAATAAAATTAATTTAGCAAAATGTTAAATTATTATTTGTGCAACAAAATTTCCTATCAAATATAAATATATAAAATTGAATAAATTAACGAAATTTAATCTACGTCACCTAATCTTTTATAATGGATGATATATCAATTAGACATTTTTCATTTCTTTTGTTTTTAAATTTCTTCTTTGTTTCAGTAATTATTCAAATTATTCAGGAAGTGTATAATTCGGAGAATTATACAAAAATGATTTTCTCATCCAAATAAGATAAATAAATCGGAAAATTTTAAACATCAAAATAAGTTTAGCCAATTGCTATCTTGCACTAATATCGTCAATTACTAATGATAAAGGGATGAATTAAATGGATGATAAATCTGTCAATATTTATTCAACAGCTAGGTCATTTCTATAGAGGTCATCTCATCAATATTGATGAAAAGATTCGATAGAACTTTAAATGATATTATCTTTTTAGTTGTGATCGAATACGAAGGAGTAATAAAGGAGTAATAAATTTTTGTTAAGTGCATTTTAGATAATTCGAACATTGTTTTCCAATGACTAATCAAACTATTACTAAAATTTTTACATTTAAAGAATAAATCAATCATTATTAGCTAAGTTTTTGTCCGACTAAAACTTACATTTCTCTAATAATCGATTAATTAAGTGAATAATTAATCAGTCATAAAATAATTGAAAGTGTTGAAAATTTGAAAAGTTAATTCTGCATAAAAATACATCATAAAATCTTTCGGTTTCATTCTTTCCACACTTTACTTATTTTTAGTTTATTTTGCAGAAGGAATTTTGTTGGCACTGATATTGCCATCCTTGAACTAATATGAATGCCATAAATTTAGCATAGTTCTTGACAGCTTTAAACGAAAAGTACAAAGTGCTATTTTTAAAACAAAGTTTAATAAGTCATAGAACATTCTATTGGCCTTTTTTTATTAACTTTTATGTTCCGAAAAATGGAATGAATCGATGAATTTTATTTTACTCCAAAAAGTTTACTTTAAAACATCTAAAACAATAGCATGCTAATTTTCAAATAACTTAAAAGAAATAATGATTGTGCAAGAATTATCAATCCCTTTTAAATTTGGTGACAGTTAAAATTAAACAAATTTTTATAACTGATTCTGAAGAATAAAATAAAAAACAAATTTGACAAATTTCAAATCTTTGTGAAGAATTTAAATTTTTATATCGCTATAGTTTATTTAATCACTTATTAAATATTATCATTCTAATTTTTCTTTATTATCAGAAGATGATATACAAATGCGATATCATTTTATCATTCATGATAATGATGTTGTCCGTTTTGTAATGCTAATTAAAATTGCATAATCTTTTTAGTCAACTGTAAATGGATAATTGATAACCCTTCAAACTTAATTAAATAAACAATTGATAACCTTTCACTTAATTAAATGAACAATTGATAACCTTTCATTTAATTAAATGAACAATTGATAACCTTTCACATTCAATTGCATTCCTATTTTTCTTGTAATTCCATTTTTGTAGCAACAAAATTATCATCGAATAATTTTAATATCTCAATAAAATATTAGGAACACTACTTTTGTGTTGCTTATTTAATAGGTATCTTTTAATTTATAAAATTAAATTTCTTACTGCTTCTGCTGGAAAATATGTAAATAAAGTTCTCTTCATCATTTTTCCATCATTTGTTGTTTTGCTTTAAAATCTATTCTTTCTATGATCGCTACAAATTCAATTTGAAATTACTACTGTTGCTAACGTTGAGATTTTAATTCATCAAAATTTAAAACAAAAAGGATAGATCAAAAGGAAACGAAACATTTTCAACACTGTCTAAAACAATGCTGATTATTTGCGAAATTTAACTTTACAACTTGATATAATATATTATACAATTTTTTAATAATAAAATTAATTAAATTAGCTGAAATTTCTGCATTTTTAAATTTCCTAAAACAATTGAAAGTTTCTTAAATTTAATAAAATAAATTACAACCACTGATTATGAATTTCAATTTAATTAATTGCAACAATTTATAGAGTGAAAGTCAATCACAAAATCATAGTGTTACAACAATTGAAGCAAAATGCTCATTTAAAAATCGCCCAGCGTTACGACTTGATTCACGTCTTGTTTGCAAATATGAAGTTTTAGCTGTTATCGGAAAAGGTTCATTTTCACAGGTGAAATTTTTTGCTTAATAATAAATAAATGAAATTTTTTAAAGTTTATTTCATTTCGTTTACTGCAAGAATTTTTCTCTCATTTGACGTATGTCTCGTATATTATACGTCAATGATGCCAGTAAACAATACAACGGAAATATAATGTTGTAACAAATATTTAGCTATCAAATGAAGTGAAAAAAATTAGTGTAATTTGTAGTAAAGTAAGTTTTTTATCATTTATAGATTTTACTAGTATCATTTTACCATCTTTATCATTTTATCAAAAATGAATATCATTATAGGTTCTTCGGGTACAACATCGACTTACACATAAATATTATGCCGTAAAATTGGTTTCATCTAATTGTGGTACTGTAAATAATGAATTATCGATACTAAGTCGTGTACAGCATCCATATGTGATTAAACTTGAAGAAGTATTGCAAAATTATTAATATTCTTTTTTCAAAGGAATGAAATCTTATAGGAATAAATGATCGGTTTAATTTTGAAATGATATATATATTCTTGAGATATTTATATTTGCCAAATTTCATATTATTAAAATTAATTTTTGAATAGTAATAATAATAATTGTAGTAAATGAATTTGTAGGTGTTTAAATCTTCATCACGATTATTTATCGTAATGGAAATGGCAAGTGGTGGTGAAATGTATAATCGAGTGGTAGCAAAGGGAAGATATTCGGAAGCAGAAGCTCGACAAGCTCTTCGAATGCTCTTAAATGGCTTAGCTTATTTACATAGTATTCGGGTGACACATCGAGATTTGAAACCGGAAAATTTATTGTACAGTGATACGACACCTGATGCAAGACTTCTCATTACTGATTTTGGTTTAGCTTATCAGGCGCAAACATCTGAGGAAAAAATGACCGAAACATGTGGTACACCGGAATATATTGCTCCAGAGGTAGCAGCTAATTTTCTACATTTTTGATATTTTAATTACGGAAAAAATTTTTTTTTTGAAAAATTCATTTTTACTGAATGAAATGAAATATTTTGAAATTTTAATAATTTGAAGGTTCTTCTTCGTTCCGCATATACCGATAAAGTGGATATGTGGGCAGTTGGTGTTATTGCATATATTTTAATGTCCGGCATAATGCCATTCGATGATGATTGTCGATCTCGATTGTATACACAAATTATCACAGCTAATTATATTTATTATCCTCAGGTTCAATTTTACAACAACTATCTATTTGCATTATTTAGTAACCTTGAATGGAAATATTCCCTTCTGTTTGTAATTAGCTAAATTAGCAAATGAAAGTGTAAAATAATAAGTTATCGTTAAAATATTGGAGCAAATATGAAGATACAATTTAAAACAAAAAAAAAAACATAGACATTTTTAATTGTAGTTTTGGTCGGGCTCGGAATTAGCAAAAGATTTCGTAGATGCACTGTTAGAAACGGATCCAGATACACGATTGAGTGCAACTGATGCCGTGAAACATGAATGGTTTATGGGAAATCGAAGTCAATTGAAAATAATTATCAAAACACGACCTGCTTCTGATTTCACAACAGTCCAAAGGGTAAAAAAAAATGTTGCAAATTCAAATGCTGAAATGGAAAATGAAATATTTACTGATTTCTTACATTTCATTTCTGATCTTGCATTCTGTAGTTGTTGCAAATAAAACAACAAATGGATCTATGATTTAAAATTTTTGCATAAGAAAGTGAATGATATTCATTTGTGATAGGACCTAATAATTGCATTTTTAAATATGCCTTGCAACTCTTACTCTATTTAGGTAATATCCTTCTATTGTCCAACTTAATTTTATCTTTCAACTTTTAGAAAGTCCATTCTTTGAGAGAATTGCTGTGTAATTTAATCTTACAAAGACAGATATCAATTTCTTTCAAAGGGAAATCAATGACAGTTACGAATTACTGCGGACTTAATTTGCAATTTTTCCATATCCATTAAATTCCCTCTTGCCTGAAAAATTTGAATTTTAGTTAGGCTTACATATCACTTCCTCTTAAAGCGGATAAATGTATAAAAGATAAACTGAAGTAATTTAATACAAGATTATTACATTGTTGTAAATGTATAATATTGAATGAAGACGAAAAAAAAAAGCAAATCGCAATATTTCTTTAGTCATGAAATGTAAAATATAGAAATATAGTTTAGTACCAATAGTAAAAACTCGAGATAATCACTGAGAAATACCAATAAAAGTATGTTGAAGATAAATAATGATATAATCAACACTTGCTTTTGTTTTCAGACACGTTCCTCACGATCGATTCGAAGTGTTACACGATCCGATCACGGTCATCGCGTTGATCCACGTGAAGTAGATCGTCTAGCTAATGATTTACAACGTCTAGCAAAATTTCAACAACGTTCAACCAAACATTACGGTTTCTTATAGTTTTTCATATATTCATGGTACTATGCATAAATTGTTTTACATCACAAATAATCACAAAAAATTTTTGTCATCTTTTTCGATCACCCTTATCTTTCATCCATTGTAAAGAAAAAATTTCAAATTATACTGCATACTGAATCAGTTTGTTATATTTTACTATTACATGTTTGTATTCATGATGAATATATTGATTAATTGATTGATTAGTTAATTAAATAATAATTCATGCTCAAATCTATTGTTTACTTCGCTATTGATTAAAAATCTCAAATAATGCTTAATAATACAGTTTTTTTTTCAAGCGCTGTCATTTATAGATTTGCTTTTTGATAATTGTTTCAGTGCTATTGATATCTTTAAGACTGAATGGTGAATATACGAATTGATCAGGACAAAGAATTATTTCAAATTTTCATGTATATTCAAAAATTTCAAAAAATTTGAAAGTAAATCATTTTTTGAAAAAAAATCTCATAATATGCTTTCCATACCTGTTCAGCATTTTCCATTTGAAATATTAAACCACTGTGCTACAGTAGTGAAGCAATTCTTCGTCTTATTTCACTACTAACAGCAATGACTTTGAAATTACATCTTCTGTAATGATTAATTATCATCAACGGATGTCAAGGCGAAGAGTAGTTTTTCAAATGAGAACAAAAAGACTGTCAACTAATATTATGTTTTTCACTTGTAAATACAATCATCATATGGGGGGTTTTTTATACCTCTGTAGTAAATTTGGTCAGAAATTATCTACAACTTTTGTCCACAAAAATGCAACTAATGGATTTTTTTTCTTACTATCAAAATATAAAATTCAATTTTGAAATGCTAATAACTAGATCGCTAACAATGACCTACTAATTAAATGGGTGAATTAAAATAATCATTAGCATCATACGCTTATTTCATAATGCTAATTAGATACTCATTCATTTTTGGTAAATAACTATGGCATTATGAAGAAACATACGAATCCTATTCTAATAGTCCAAAAAAGCATCATTTATAACGAAATTCACAAAACTATGAACTTGAATAATGATAAAATGTATGTTAAAGTTAAATGAAAGTGAAATGGAATGAAGATCTATATATGTCAACCAAAGAGTTGTTGATACATACCAAACAGAAGTTTTATAAAATTCCTTTTGAAGTTATAAATTCCCTGATGTACAGTGATGTATTATATGATGTGTTTTCTAAATCTTTTGATCATCATTTCTTTTACTGGGATAAATGATGCTTTTATAGAGATATTTGTTGTAATGAAGGAATTTATCGCATATCAATATATTCCTTACGGTAATTCCCTTGCATTTTCCGAATTTAGAATGGATTAGCTACGTACCTTCACATAGTATATACCCTGGACCTATAACGAACAAACTTCTTTCACTCTTTTTTTTTTCACTAAATGTCATACTTATCACCATAAGTACAGAAAAAATCCCTCGAATGATCTGGAAAATATATCAAAGGACGCAGAAAAAAAAATAATTTAGCATTTCAAACTATGTCATCTTATACCACAGAGTTTAACTTCATTGACTGAGTATTTAGGAACTTTACCACATTATTTAAATTGAAATTCCAAAGTCGAAACGTGTTAAAGGGTCAAACGCTTTAAATGAAGTTAATTTTAAAAAGTATTAAGAATGAAACAAAACCGGGTTTGAACAACGAATAGTGAAATTTTATTTAGAAACCTATTAAACATATCAAACTTTTTGCCTCTTGCTCAATTTTTGCATTTTTTTAGAAAAATAATCATTTATCGAAAGTTTGTTGACCGTTATGTTCCCAGATGATGATTCCGGTTTAACCTAAAATTCGCGTTCTGATAATAAAATATCCATTACAGAATGTTAAGTCCTTATTACAGACTCAAAAGTGGTCATATCGTCAAACAATTGCCACTTTTCAAAAAAGCAGCTAGCGCTTATTTAAAATGAAAAATTGCTTGAAAACGAAATTTCCTGATACAAAATTAGAGTAAAATCAACTAACTTCATCTTTCTGCATATTCTCTTCAGTGTTTTTATCAACAGTTCTCTTCTCTGATCTCTTGCCAAAAATAGCACACTTATCTTTTTCTGACATGCCTGGGAAACATTTGTCTTTTCTGTGCCTAAAATACAAAGATGTTAATTGCTAATTTTGGGCTAAAATTTGATCAGCTGACACGATACAAATTTATTTAATCATTGTTTAAGTTTCATTTTCCTAGAAAATTCTATTATTCAAGCCTTTTGTGAACATTTCAGATGTTCATTTATTGAACATGAAAACTGCATCTTCTTTAGGAGTTTCAGCATTTTGGAGAGTTTATTCGATCACCTACTAAAATCTAATTTTTCCACATTACAAAGAATTTTAAGAAAAGCACTATGACGAGATGATTAAAACATACTCATTCAAAATTATTTTTGATTGCACTTTGTTCAAACTTTTTTCGATCTGTTTAATTTTTGATTTCTCTTTCTTTTTATTTAAATCGGCTAAAATGGCTGCAAAACTGTCATGATGGGCAATCAAAACTTCATCGCTTCTTTCAGTACACCCCAGACCTGGAATCAGAACTCTGTAATTAAATCAAAATTTTAAATATAAATATTGATGTATATTGAAAAATATCCAATAAGTGAAAGCTACAATAGAAAAAAAAAAACCTCTCGTTGAAATGTTTGCTTTCGGTTGCAAATTTTCAACAATTCCTTGTTCATATTTGCCCAATCCACAACCCGGTGTCCATCCCATCTTCTCCAGCATCTTCTTCCCAAACTTTGAGTCATCTAAAAATGCAAATTCATTTCGGAAATCGAAATACTAGAATTTATAGAACTGAAAAAAAGGTAAAAACGTACCATTTTGCCATGCAAAATTCTGTGAATTCATATTTCCTGCTCTTGATCCTGAAGTCGTTAAAAAAGATATTTCGGATTTCCCGTTGTCAAATTAGTGTATATATACTGTATATGTTTTCAACAATATATTTGCAGTTTTTCTTTCACTATTAAAGCAATATGAAAAAATCACTGCAATGAAATTCAAAAAGAAAATTTTTGCAGTGTATAAGTATAACTGACAATCTGAAATTCACCGTCTTCTTCCTCAAATTATTTATTTGTTGTGAAATTGGAACATGGAATAAAGTAAAAAATTGAGTGTTATTAAGTAGAGGTTACCATTGATATTCGGGAAAAAGTATGAAAACTTGTAACCTGACAGAGATATATGGGAAATAAATAACAATACATGCGAAACAAAAAGTATATAAAACGCCAAAAACAAAAAAAAATCAAGGAAATGAATTGTACAGTGATCCTGTAAACATTTAGCTGATCGCAAACTGAGCCCTAGATGGCACAAAAAACTGAACTATATTCAACTACATTTTCATTACATTTATCATGAATCACTCTAATGGATAAATAAATAATGCCACGAGATATTAACAAAAATTAAACAGAGAATCAGTAAGAGGACTTGATAAAAAATGAAAAAATACAAAATAGAAAAAGTTTTGGTAAATTTTGATATTCGACGTACACATCATTCCAGTGATTAAAAGATTGGATGTCGAAAAAAGTCCTTTATAAATCTTTTACCAATGACTGATTTAATCGGTAAATTAATTTGTTTCATTTATTCACTCTCGTGGTTAAAAAACATAAATTTTAAACGGCTTATAAAGCAAATAATAAATAAAACTGAGAACCTAATCAGTGAGTAAATCAATAAATAAGCAATAACAGATTTGGCAGTAGAAGCATATAGTCTTTATCAGGGAATAAGTTAGCAAAAACGCAAAAAACTAAGTTGTATTTAACTCTTAAATTTTAAAATCTGAAAATTTGTTCATATATATCCATATTGCAAACAGTAAAAAATGAATTTCATTCAATTAACTTAATGAGGAACTAGAGTTACGAAATTCAGTCAACAAGACATCTTAAAATATCTGCCTCCAAAGATGATATCTCTTCATTATTAAGCACTCTTGAAAACCTAACGCATAAACGTTAAGAAGTAACATGTAGTTCAATGATCCAAATTTCGGATGTCCAAACCATTTTCATGGGCGCTCCCTGATAAAGCGTACCAGCTGTAACAAATAACTGCGTTCCTGATGAGATCTGATACAACCCATAATAATAGGGCAACATCCAGTAAGCAATCGGTGCAACCGTATAAAATTGTCCTGCATGTGTATGTCCTGAAAAAATTTTTAGGTTTTACTAATAAAATGACACAAACACCAACATCCTCAATGATAAATCTAGTGATAATTTCGCATTGAACTAATAGAAGTGAATGCATCTGTGTATTCTTATTTACCGAAACACTCTCGATCCAACCTGAATTAGAAAATGTAAATATCTGTAAATAACCTGATAGAATGAGATCAACACGTTTATGTGCACTATTAAAAGCAATTTTTTCGGCCGAAGCTGGATTATGCGAAAGCACTATGGTTGTAGTGTTCGTCGGACAACCTTTCAGTGCTTCTACTGGTTGAAAAAGATGACCAGGCAATCTGTAAAAAAATTTTGGATTCATTTGAATTCGAAACTTATTTTAGTTGAAATCTCTTTACCTAGTCAGTAGTCCGGTGAATGAATATGAAAGATTATTTTAATGGTTGATATTGCACACTTGTCCAGGAAGCCAATATATACGTTCAACATATAACAGCATAACAATATTGAAAACGTCAGAAAATCCAAGCTAACTTACCCGCTTCGTCCGCTTGAATAATCACTCACACCAGCCACACAAATACCACGAAAAAGCACATGCCTGCAACAGTAAGATTTAAATATGCTTCAATTTATGTAAGTTATTAGATAGTGAAAAAAGAATTTAATATTTTCGTCATTCAGGTTAAAAACTTGCATTTCAATGTGAATCATTAGAAAATCAGCAGAATAAGAAAGAGTAAGATTTGGATACTAATGTAATGTTTCACGTTTGCATAACTCATGAACAAATCGCTTGGCAATATAAATGACACAACATCAACTGGCTTAATTATTTACATCTTTTGAATCTGATCGTCAAAAAACGGCACAGACAAACCTATTATTCAAGACTTCAAATCCATATTGTTGAAATAAATCAAACCACTCTGAAGCATTACCATAATAGTACTCATGATTTCCACTTACGTAAAACGTTTTTGGCTTCAAAAACCTTGAAAATTTTTGCTTACATAAAGAAGTATTGAAACCTTCGTGTTTAAAAATCACCTATTTAGGTATTCGCTGCTTGATGAAACAGTTTATCAAATAAGTCTTGATGTATTGTAACAAAAATAAGCTTTCCGAAACAAATCTTCATGAAATTATTGATTAAATTATTTGAAATTATCCGTAGATGGCAACTATCATCATTCTTCATTTCCGAGTACCATACTAGAATTGCTCAATAAATTTAACATTAAATGTCCGTGTTGAACGGACATCGTTCTTCTCAATGAGCTCATATAATAAGCCCATCAAACAATTTCACCAGACTAAATCACTTACAATGCTATTAATTCCACCAAAGAAATAACGGCTGGAAAGATATCATCAATTATAAGTTGAGTAAATGGGATTCGAAGTTATAACTTGACTGTTATGAGTAAAAATTTTTTCAAGATCGCAACTACCGAAGAAATTTTATGCTGATTTTTGATATCTTAAGACATAAATATCTCACCGTAGCGGTCTTACACGACTTTCTATTGAATCTCTTGGAGCATCTACAGTATCACCAACAATAAATACAGCATCAACCATCTGATTGTTTACTTGATCCACAATCTGCAAAGTCCTTATTGAGCAAAATTATCGTTTATGTAACACAATAGTATTTGTAAAGCACAGGATAGTAAGAAAAATGAAAATAAAAGAAATGGAGAAAAAATAAATGCAATAGAAAAATCAAAGACATCTTCTATTTCTTCAATTAAAAAATCATCCCACTAAATTTGGATAACTAAAACAAGTGGTGGATAATCAAAAACCAAAAAAAGGTTAAAAATCCAAGTACAAAAAATACAAAAACTACTTCTTCTACTTGTTCCTTGAATACTGTTGCACCTGCATGAATATCCGATATAAGGGCAAATCGAACACCTTTTGCACTATCGGGTAAATCCTTCACATTTAGTGATATATTCTGCAATATTCTTGATAAATAAAACAAATTTACTACCATATTATGCCTCAAACCTAATGTAGAATCGAAAAATAATGAAATGAAAACTTTAGTTGCAGAGCAAAGAAAAAAAAAAGGGAAAAATCGATTACATATTAATGTAATATTATGCAATAATGACCAAAAGTAACTGCTCAGAAATGAAAACAAAATGATTAAAAGGAAAACTAACTTTGATAATTAGTGTGTCGCAGAAAATGTATGAAAAGAAACATAAAAAAACAGCGACCAGTAATGTGAACGCAGTTTGTATATTTTTATTCAAACAAAATACTTCCAAAACGGAAAACTTGGATAAGCATTTACTGATGAATCCATGACACATAGTTGTTGCCTAAAATATGTTCCTCTTTTTCAAAACTTACTTCATATTATTTGAAACAAATAGTAGAGCAATCGCTGGAAAGAATATTGATGAGATGAGATGCGAAAAATTCTCAACAGTTGCATAGTTCATGTAGGAGAGGACTATAAATTGTAGATAAATTGCCAGCCGCAGCTATAAGTGACGTAATGTAGGAAGCTGCATAAAATAATATGATAAATTAAATTATCACAAAATTACCTATATCCAAATGATCTGACAATCAACTTTGCTATTGTTTTCCAGAAGTCAATATACGGTTTATTGCGATAATATTAAGTACCTACGAAGATCATAATTAACCTAGTAAAAGTAATTTATAGGCATACCTCACTTCTTACCAACAGACCGTACAAGAATTCGTCGTTTATTACAGTAACCCCTTTGACAATACTTAGAAGTATAAAATGGACTTTTTATTATAAAAATTGCAGTTTTTTTTTTTTTACAATAAAGAGCATTGAATCTTAAAATAATTTATGAAAAAGAATTTCAAAGCCAAAATAATTCATGAAAAAGAATTTCAAAGCCAAGAAACTTGCCTTCAGTCCAGAAATCAATGTTGTTAGAACTGCAAATGCAGCTAAAGGGATAACAACGTGATACCATAAACCTACTGATAAAAAGGACAAGATGACAAAAAAACGTGGTAGATTGGGAAAAAAATATAGGAAAAGTGATGCATGCCCCAGCAATAACCAAAATATCGTACCACTTGCTATCAATCGCAAATGCTGGAATAGATTTTATATGAATTTCATTAAAATTTGCAGTGAACTGTAAAAAAAAGTTATGAAGATTGTATAAACTATCAAATCAACAGTTATAGTATTTTCCTGTTATCAAACATATGAAGGAAATTGATCTTTTGTGATAATACTGTCTCTTATTATCAAACAACACTAATAATTTAGGAGTAGATGGGACTAAACATGATCAATAATACTTACTTTATAAGCAATAGAATATGTTTGCAAAATGCATAAATTACCTTTGATGCATGATCTGTCATAACACCATTACTATTATATGTTAGCACATATTTCGCAAGTTTGATGAGTCGAAAATACAAAAACACACTGAATGGAAATGTAAAAAGTTCAAATTTGACTGTACTCAATTGACGTGCACGATTGCCTTTCCGATAATCATTGACATCGTTTACCTGCAAATAAGATATAAGATTAAGTGTAAAGTGTAACTGCATATTGAATATAATTTCTTCCGAAAAGTTTCAGGAATAGACACATCAGAAATTCTGAAGAGCTTCAACAATTAAGCACACAAACGAAATAACCGAAATATTCATCATTGAAAGAAATATCATTGCCACAATACTGCAACTATTAACTGATTTTGACACGGTTATTTTTTTTATAAAAATTAAACAAAAATGAAGCGCAATTTTTTTTGAAAGGAAAATATGCAACCAGTATTTAATCTTTTATAACTTGAAAGATCTAAAATTAGGAAGTTCAAAGAGAGAACAAACTTACACCAAATATTGCCGGACCAAAAATATTCAGAAAAACGATGCTTGCTGCCGAAATGATACTCGAAGTGATAATTGGGAACCGAAAGACTTGTAAATTCATACTCTACAATCAATAATTAGGTAAAATATGGACGGAATGATTCAAGACTTTCAATTGTGGTCAGAAGCGTTGAATAATAGGATGAAATTTCAATAGAAACTACACTCATTATAGTAAACAGCAAAATGTAAAAAGTGTGAAAAAGAAGGAGAAACTATACACAGTTAAACACTATTAAATTTAAAACGAAAACTAAGCCCTATAAAAAAATCAAACCCTAAAAAAACCCTATAAATAGTAATATCCGATTTTGCTCCAATCCGTTACTATATCTGATGACGATGATCGATTTACAATTTCCAGCTCCCTACAGATCTTAATGATAAATTATTACCATGAATTATTCCATTTGAAGATGTTGGAACTTTTTTTTGAAACCTTAACTGTTCAACTCTTTTAAATTCCTGACATTTTATATATATCACCAGTACAAATGTACAACGACACTATAGATCTGATCAGAAATAGCCGCATGAGCTTGACATTCGTTCGCCATATCACTTAAAATGAACTCCCACACATTAAAGAAATTAATTCAAACTCAAATTCCAGAATTTCAGAAAATAATGCTAGAAGAGCAATTAGAAGGGTTCCGCAGCATAAAAAAATCTCTGAAATGCGATCAAAATTTTATACAGAACAAATACACATTTCACTAAACAGAAGTGTTATAACTTGAAAACATAAAACAGCGTTACAATCTTATTGTAATCATAAAATAATTTTAAATTTGTAATTTTATCAAAATAACAAATCCAAAGATAAAATATTAATACTTCTACACAGGACCTAATATAGTTACAAACATGTATATAATTACTAAGCTATACAACAACCAGGAGTAAATAAAAAAATGTACAAAAAGTTACCACGTCAGTACATACCACATAAAAAATATTTATATAATATCTGTATATATCATTAGAAAAGAGATTATGTACACATCATATAATTATTTACACATCACCTGCGCAATGTCAGTAAAGTTATTTCACATAAATTAAACATTTTTACAGGTGGACCCCAGTAATTCACGCCAGACGACACGTAAATCTGTGTGTCCCTATTTTTTACTTGGTAATGCCCATATAAGAAGTCATTCTTCAGGTATGCGAGAAACCATACGATATAAAACTGTCCAGCATGCGTGTGTCCTAGAAAAATTTTTTTGTATGTCAACAGAACAAGCAATTTTTTAACTTTTCGCCTGATATTTTTCTCCCATTATTTGATGAGTCATATAATTTTTTCTATAATTGCCAATGTCAGAAATATCTGCAGCTTGTGAAATTATTGCATTTAATTGTAGGAAATAATTAATTGTGCAATGTTTGCCAGTATTTAATAAATTCAACTGAAAAAGATAGATGGCATAAAAACACTACTTCAAATACGTGTGTATTCTACCTACATTGACGACGCTAAAATTTCTTAGATTATAGAAGTATTCAGGGAAAAGGGCAATTATCACTTGTCTGAAAAGTTTTTTCTACATTTTTATTAAATCAAACCTTAATTTGAATGTAATCAGATCAAATTAATAAATTCAGTGAAAAAAATTTTTCCATAAGACTGACCTGATAAAACCAAATCAATTCGTTTCTTAGTATTACGTAGGATTTTAGAAGCACCATTTGGTTGATGTACCAACAGTATCACAGGTTGTGTCTCACTACAACCATTCAATGCACGTTCTGCATCCATATGATGACCAGGGATCCGGAGTTTTTCTAAAAAAGAGATTATAATAGCATGAAAGTCATATACATGACTGACAGTAATTTTTCAACTTTTTTTTTGAAGACCTGAAATTACCGCAAAGTCATATTCATGTAAAAAAAGTAAAGGAAAAACCTTAGATGTATGAGCAATTCTAGAAAAATAAAGTAAAACTTTTTAGCAAAACAATCAATAGAGAGAATATACCTGTGAAGAGATCATGTACACCAGCAACACAAATACAATCACCGCTGGTGGAACAGAGATTACGATTTTCGTTGCGCAAAACGGTGATATTAAACTTCGTCGTGAAATAATGCAACCATTCGTTTACGTCACCGTAGTAGTATTCATGATTTCCTACAAATATATTTTTTTTATTAAATGAAGAAATTGCATTAACATGGAAGATATTCTAAAAAGAATTAGCTGACTGCAATAAAAAGCCAAACATGAAGCTGAGATATGAAACAGGTTAAAGACTGGATTTTTGAAAGCCTTCTTATAATGAACTTCACCAAAACAAATTAAGCGAACAACTACTCATAGCATATCATCTTAAAAGCTTGTAAGAGTATAAAATAAGTGTTATAATTTAAAATTTCACTACTTTACACTGACTACTTTTATACATTAGAAATGAAGGATCAAGGATACCACTGCTATACAAAATGATTTATCTGCATATTGGATGTTGATTAAATTATAAAATTCTTAATTGCATATTGGATTAAACCAAGATGAATGAAGAAAATAATGTTAAGATTTCTCTACAGCAAAGAAATTCCAAATACCCCCGAAAAGTTAGAATATATTTTTCCAAACATTAAGAAAGCAGACAAACACACCGGTGATATAATAGACACCATACTTTGATTTCAACTTTGCCAGTGGTAAGGTTCGCTGTACCAAATTTGATAGGAATCCATCAACTAAATCACCCGCAATAGCCACCATATCTGCATGCAACGCATTTGTTTTTACAACAATCTCTTCGATTCGTTTCTGATCAACGGTGGGTCCAATATGGATATCAGTTAGCAAAACAATAGTAAATCCATCAAGTGATGGGGGGAGATCTCGGATTTTCACATTTACCCGATTCACCTAAATGAAATGAGAAAAAGTTTGAAAATAAAAAAGACACTTCCAGGAGCATTGTTGCGATGTTTAGTTTTGAAAACAGCCTATTTCCACGGTTCGTTCCTGCTATTATTAGGAATCAAAAATTTGGTAACTTTTAGCTTTTTCCAATACTTCCTGACGCAAAAGAAATCGATTCCTTACACATCCTTGCAATCCCAATCCGTTTTAATGAAAATGAATGGTCAATCAGGAAGAGCTTATGTGCAATAATATTTTCTGACGGAATGACTTACCACTGGTGCTGAACGTGTAACAGCAAAACCAGCACCAGTTAGAAATAATGCCAGTAGGAGCGATAATATCGTGTTGAATTTTCTAGATTGAAAAACGGCAAGAGATTTTGGCCACAAAGTCCAATGTGAACTTAGAAGTTCGACAATTACTAAGAGCATTAGGAAGAAACCCATATGCACATATATTGAGAGACAGATAAAACTGAAGAAAAACAAAGGTATTACCGATTACTACATGTCATAAGTAAAGAGACTGGCAACACTTAGAAATGTAGTCATTCCCAGAAGTCTTCAGTAAGTTATTACCTGCTCAAAAGTACAGAACTAAAGCAGATGTTTAGCAATGTTATTCTGTAAACAGAACAACTAACAACTAACAGCTAACAAAAACGGATTTAGTAACTTTTATACTTCGAAGCTCTATAAACTATGTCATATTACCTAGTCTTTAGAGAAACAAAATTTACCAAATGGTAGAAATAATGCTGCTATCTGGCAAATAAATATAAAAAAATAAGAAAGAGATATGTGAAAATAATATGCTGAGTATGGTCAAAGTTTTGAACAAGTCTTGCAACACAACAGTGGTCGGTTGGATCAATCTGAATTCAACCAATTATTAAATTCCAAGAGAATATTATGAATTCGAATTTGTAGATAATTGACAAGAATGACATATATTAGATAAAATAGGATACACTATTTAAACAAGCTGTTAGTTCTATTCCTGTAAGATAAAGCAGCAAAACACTCCATCTATACTGCAAGAGGGTAAAAGAAAAGAATATAATTAGTCCATTTATGCTTACTCTTCAGTTTTTCACTTTTTGCTCCTTTATCATATTATTGTCTTTCTCTTCAGTTTTTTAGGAAAACACATCATTCCGGCTCAATATTCAAATAGGATTCCAACTGTTGTACTTGAACAGCCCATTAACAAGTATATTTTAAGAAAAACCTAGTTATACAAAAATAATATACATAAATTCAAAAAAAAAAGAAGCCTCACTCTTTAACTCTTCCATAGATGAAAGATGAGATCACACACATAAGAAGCTCCGCGGAGAACACATCGTGAAACCTGCATAACTGTGAATGATATATACCGTTAGCTCGGATTCTCATCACCATTAAACATCCTTGGATTGCCAAGAGTAAAGCGATATATTTCTTATTCTTCCAAAGATATCTTTTCCTTTCATTTATTATCATCCTTTTAACTTCAAAGTTCTAAACGAAAACATCATGAATTCCCACAATTGTGCAGTAAAAAAAAGTTTTGAGAATTATATCATAAGAAAGCGTACGCATCGTAAAACATTCCGTTATTATTTGATAATGCTAACATGGCATTTGTTATTTAAACCTTAAATTTAAAAAAAACCCATCTAAATTTAAAATATTTCGCCTCTTGATTTTAAATACTTCACCGATCCTCTCAACCATTTGTTACAATTAATACAATTAATACATTTGTTACAAATAGTACACTTTTCGTCTCTTTTGTCGGTCTACTATCTAACCATTTATAATTTTCTTCATTTTTTTGTTTGTCTTTTCTATAATTAGCCCTTTACTTTTTTAATCACTAATTCTCTTTATGTATCGTAGATTAAGAAAAAACTGTAATACTAATCCCGATACATCACCCAGTTCCTTCCCTCCCTCCACTTCCATCACTCCTCTCTCGCCTCTCCTCCTTCCCCATGCCGCTCCCTGCCGGGATATCTAAGATTTTCTGGAATAAAAAGCCATTTGTGAAATGAAATGCGAAAATGGTCATTATGAAATAATTTGGATCAAAAAAAGATAATTATCCATAAAAAGCAAATTGCTGACTCGAAGTGAGCACTATTTGGCCTGAAGTATTTATCTATTTATTGACTAAATCAAAAATTATAAAAAGCAATAACTTAAATAGAACTTAAATACAATTTTAACATCTATCATAAATCATAATGGTAAATTTTTTAGTCCAAAATTTGAATAGTCGAGAACTGAATTATAGAGCACTGAAAGAAAGAGTGGTTAATTTTTTGGAGAATGCTTTTTTACTAGATAAATCGGATAATATCCGATTTGCAATCGATTCTGAAATCTGAAATTTCAGGTGTAACACAATCATTATAAATTTCATTGTTGCTAGGCAACTAACTGGTTATAACTATCATACTGTTAATCTCAATCATTTAGATTCCATCTTAATTCAGGTATTTGTTTTTGTGAGAAAAAAATGGTTGTTAGAATTTTTTGAAAACTGATAATTTATTACCACTTGATATGAAAAACTGATAAGACTGATAATTGATAAGACTGATAATCAGTTGATAATTTATTGAATTCATTTAAAATTTGTATTCGCGAAGATTTATCATTCCAAATGAATTATATTATGGTTTATAAAATAGATGAAATCATTAAAGTATATTTCCAAAATTTTTATCCTATTTTAAGATTTGTCCTTGCTAACTTTCGATTTCAATAAAAGGAATTGAATGGATGATTGCAATGGACCAAATACATTTATTGCAACCAGAAAGAAAACGGTAGCTAAAAAAGTGAATTCTGGAATGTTAACTGATCCACGAGAATATCGGCATCAAGGTTAGCCTGAATTATTTTCACAATTTTTTCATCCTTTCAGGTAAATCAATCCTACTTTCTCATCATCCATTCTCATAACATCAATATCTTCTTCTCGACACTTTTATCCATCCTCTCAATTATCAATATTGATTGATTTGAGTGTAATTTATTTTGTAAATTTGATATTCATTAATGAATGATTTAAACTTATCAACGAAATTATTGTTTTCAATCAATTTTAATTAGAAGAAATAAAATTTAGAAATCATTAGAATATTGTAAAAACTTATTATCGCTAATCTCACAATACTATTGTAGTATTAAATATTGATATTGAAAATGAAAATCTTTAGGAAGTAATGCAATGCCATGTATTAGTATTGGTATACAAACCGAACAAATTTCAACTTCATTAAGTACCATTTTAAAAGGTAATATCAGTAATAATGTATTGAATTTATTATTAATGACAGTAAAAAATAATAATGACGAATTGAATATTCTTGCACGATTGAATGTTTTTCATCGTACCGATTCGGTAACATTATCAATGATGAAACAATATCAATTACCGCAGGTAATTATTAATTAATTTTATAAATTAAAAATGTAATTTGCCCAAAAAAAAACAAATCATCTCATTAATCTAATTAGCACAAATGGTAAATATTCTGTATAATCTTTCATTATGATAAATACAACGTTACTTCATATTTCCTATTTAGCAAAATAAATTTTTGTACTAATAGTATAGGAAAACAAATATTCTTTGTGTGATTTTAGATCATTTCTAAATTTGATTTTTAATTTTAATTTTTTATCATTTTTATCATTTTCAACTTTTTTCTATCATTTTCAATTTTGATTTTTAAATTTAATTCCTTATCATTTTTTATCATTGAAGAGAAAAGTTTTTTCTTCACTAATTAGTACATATTAGTACATACTAATTAGTACATATTAAATATATACGATTTATATATTTCATTTTTAATTTTACCATTGAAGAAAAGTGGAAGGAATTTTTCCCCTTACTAATTAGTAATCAAAAATTAAAATTCATTTTTAAATTTTACTAAATGATAAAAATACTTGATTTAATATAAAATGTATATTTATAATCTTACATTAAACTAAATTGATCTCACTTAATTATCGAAGGAAATTAATTATAGAAAGAACACTTACCACTATATAATATTGTATGTGGTCCAAATGGACGTGTAGCATTTCTGTTTGCTGATCGTTATCATGATACGTGGTGCTCACACAACGGTATCATTATATTTTGGCAACGGCGTATAACTGATCATTTGGTACTTTCCAGTTGTCCAACAGTTCTTCGGTAAATGATAAAAATATTTGCTTTAATTTAGCATTTCAAATTTGAATGTTTATTTCTTTCAAACGATTTTGCTTTTTTCTTTCTTTTTGTAAACATTTTTTTGTTTATGAAATTTTTTTTTTGTTTATTATTTTTTCTTGTATATTTTTTTTTGTTTATTATTTGTTTATTTTTTTTTTGTTTATTATTTTCTCTTTCTTTTTGTAAACATTTTTTTGTTTATTATTTTGAAACGATTTTGTTTTTCTCTTTCTTTTTGAGTAATTTTTTGTAAACATGAAGTTTGATGAGAACATGAAGTATCATAATATATCATTATGGGAGGAAATAAATTTTTTAATTTAATGAATTTCATATTTCTTTTATTTTGTAGATATGGTCCGCAAGGTTTGATAGCAGTAGGTTTAATAACAGGTCATATTTTGATTATTTTAAATGGTGAAATTATATCAACGAATGAGGTATGAACGTATAATTTTAATTATTAGAATTATCAACAGTTTTTTTCATACATATTATTTTGCTCATGTACTAATCTAATTGTTTATTATCATTTATCACTACAAATATTATCATAATTTTAAAAAATATAACTTAATACAAATGTTAAGTATTATTATATATTAATTACAAGTATTAAATGTCAAGTGTGTAATTTATTAATTACAAGTATTAATATGAAATAAACATTAAATAATCATTTCAAACTAAAATCATTTTAATAAATATTATCGTAATTTTACAATATACAACTTAATACTACTACAAATGTTAAGTATTATTTGTAATATATTAATTACAAGTATTAATTACTACAATTGTTAAGTATTATTGTGTAATATATTAATTACAAGTATTATTAATATGAGGTAATCATTAAATAATTATTTCAAATTAAACTTTGAATCCCTATTTGAAAACCAAAAGAGTGATATGTAAATTTTGAAAATTAGATGAAATTTCAGGTTCATACTCTATCAGTAACATCATTGGAATGGCTTTATCCATTACAACAGCTTGTCTCAGTATCATTAGATGGTCGAATTATCATTCATAATTTGAAATCGACAATATTGGAAGAGAAGCATTCCAAATTAATAACTGTCTTAAATCTTCCTCGTAATATCCGGAAATCTAATGCAACAGCTAAATATATCGGTAAATAGTTTTATGAAGAAATGAAAAGAAAAATCAAAAATTCTTTTGTAAACACTTTTTTTACCTTTCAGGTAAAAAATAAATTAATGAAAATGAATAAACTATTTCTGCTAAAATTACGACAAAATTTCGACCACTAAAAACACCGATTATTTTAAGTTAATTTTTGAATTTTAAAAAAGAAACAAAGAACAGTAAATTTTGCATTGAAAAGGAATTGTAATTTCAAGTTGATAAAATAATTTACAACTCATTATAAGACAACTAATTAATCAATCATTTCAGGCTTAACATCATTATGTGTTGCTAAAGATCGGCTATTTATTGGTAGTGAAATGGGAGCTATTTGGACAGCAACACTTCCGGATTTAGCAATCTCTTTGTTTCATTACGAGATTGATTGTATTGAAGCTGTGGCACATATCTCAAACTATACCATTATTATAACATCTTCCGGAAAGATAAATTTTTCCAAAAATTTTAAAATGCTTTTTTACCATGAACTCTAACATTATTTAAATAAAAATTTTCCGGAAGGATAAATCTTTTTCAGGATTTAAAATTCTTTTTAAAAACCTTAAGTTCAAATAAAATTTATTTTGTTTATTTTAAATTCATTTTAACATTACAAATTATCGTAGGAGTATTTATGAAATAAGAATAAATTGATTTAAAAATTATGCTATCTTTACCATCCATATTTCTTTAATTAGCCATAATTAAGATAAGAAAACTTGTAAATAGTACTAATTATTATTAATTATTGTTTACTAATGAAATAGCAGTGGTAATTTAAATGATTCTAATTATCGCTCAAATTACAATTAATAGAATATATAATTTAATAAGAACTTTAGTGCAAAGATAATCAATGAAATGGTCATTTCAGTAGTTTCAGTTATAAATAAATAAGAAATCAATTTCAGGGATTAATAATATCCGGAAATGATACTTCGACTAATATTTTGGATATTCCAGTTCGCAATATTTTTATCAAAAATGCTAATTTAATCATATGTGGAAATAATGAACAACTATATGCAATTCAACTTGATGATTTGAAAATATTGATGAAACAATCTTTGATACATCAAGCATTCGCTCTTGTTCCAGATGATGATGCATTAATTGTAGTGGACAGACAGCTATTGGTCACTTTATATCGAATTAATATTAATCAATGATTGCAACTTACATTAAGGATTAAATTAAATTTGAACAAATAACATTATTTGCATTAATTGTTTAATTAATTAAAATATTTTTCTCATATTTAAAGAAAACTAAATTTGATATCTTTTATTGTATTATAATATTTTCATTTCTTACATAATTTTTTTTGTATTAAAAGAAATTAAGTATTTCAATTCCTATTTTTATTTAAATGCATGTATAGCAAAAGGAAATCATCATGATAATATGATAACATGATATGATATGATATGATACATAGGTAAGAAAAATCGGAAAACAATTACCGTAAGAATTAGTTAAATTTAATGTTTGTTTAACAAAATTTCAGATAAATCAACTGGTTTATTAGACTGGAAATTCATTAATGCAATCAGTTCATCATCCGTTTTTGAAATTTCCTGATCCAGAAATGTCCAAAGAGCAAGAGTTTGAAGATAATAAGGATGATTGAGACCAAAGCATACTTCAAATATACACATCGCTTCATATGCATATGATACAGCCTGAAATGCAAATTTATATTCCAAATAATGAAACAAAAAAGAAATGTGTTGAAAACAAATAAATGATTAAATAGAATTAATCAACAAAACAAATAAATAGATTAATAAGATGATTATGATATTATGATATGATAAGATATTGTGATAAGATATTAATATTATAAGATGATAATTTGTTATGAAAGGCTTCTAACTGAATGCCTAATTATTTGCAAATAATTAAAGAGCTTTTTGAGAGAACATGCAATCAGGTGAATAAAATAAATGATATGATAAGAAGAGCTTCTTTTTTTAGATGGTTAGTAAAGTAAATTGAAATAAGTTTGGCAACAACAAATTAGACTTACCTCTTTTCTTTCACCCTTTTCGATATATGATTTGGCAATTTTCAATAATTGATATGCAAGATGTCTATCAGATCGTGGAAAGCACCTGAAATAATTGTTTACATTTTAATTAAAATACTTTTAATTTAATATTTAATTATAGGTGGTACCATTTTGAAATATTTTTTCCTCCCTTTTTTATTATCTCACTATATTCTGAAGTATTTTTCCCGATATCATTTGTTATAGAAAATTTTCCAATTTGAAATCTCTTTAATTTTTCGGTTTTTTTTCCGAAAATTTATTTCCGGAAATGAATACGATGAAATTATATATATATTTCTTTCTTTTCCTATATACTTTTTGTTTTCATTTTTCAATGTCATTTGTCACGAAAAGTTTCCAATTTAAAATTAATTCCTTAATTTGTCAATTTTTTTCGAATGATAGTTTATTTCCGGAAATGGATAAGATAAAGTTCAATAAGGTTTATTTCCGGAAATGAATAAGATAAAGTTCAATAAGATTTATTTCCGGAAATAAATAAGATGAAATTCAATAAGGTTTATTTTCGGAAATTAATAGGATGAAATTCAATAAGGTTTATTTCCGGAAATAAATAAGATGAAATTCAATAATGTCATTTGTCATAATGTCATTATCATGAAAAGTTTCCAATTTAAAATTAATTCCTTAATTTGTCAATTTTTTTCGAATGATAGTTTATTTCTGGAAATGGATAAGATAAAGTTCAATAAGGTTTATTTCCGGAAATGAATAAGATAAAGTTCAATAAGATTTATTTCCGGAAATAAATAAGATGAAATTCAATAAGGTTTATTTTCGGAAATTAATAGGATGAAATTCAATAAGGTTTATTTCCGGAAATAAATAAGATGAAATTCAATAATGTCATTTGTCATAATGTCATTATCATGAAAAGTTTCCAATTTAAAATTAATTCCTTAATTTGTCAATTTTTTCGAATGATAGTTTATTTCCGGAAATGAATAAGATAAAGTTCAATAAGGTTTATTTCCGGAAATGAATAAGATAAAGTTCAATAAGGTTTATTTCCGGAAACAAATAAGATGAAATTCAATAAGGTTTATTTTCGGAAATTAATAGGATGAAATTCAATAAGGCATAGGAGAGAAATGAGCAGAATTGAATGAATGTAAGAGTAAATAATGTATTAGATCTTTAGAAAAGAAAAACTTAAATTTCAAATCCATTTCTTAAAATTAAATTCAAAAGGTTTTGAAATAAGTAAAGTAAAAATGAACGTATCATAGGGTGAATATCGAATCCTAAAATAAGAACTTAAATTTCAAGTCCATTTCTTAAAATTAAATTCAAAAGGTTGTGAGATAAATAAAGGAAAAAATGAACGTATCATGTTGATAAATTTTCATCAGTTTTTTCCTTCATATTTCTTCTGTAGAAAAAATTAAAACTTACAATCTGTAATTTTCATAGACACTTTTTTGAACGAATAATAAATTATCTTCAAGTGTTCCGGTAACATGAAGAAGTGCTGCTTTTAACCGTGTCACATAAATATTCTTTGAATGCAAATATTTTATTGCTTCATTAAGTTTTTCCTGAATCTGCAATATTTTCCATTGTCTCTCTTAATTAATTTACTTTCGATTAAACAAAAATTTAATTTGGTACCGAAAAAAAAAGAGCAAAATAAAAGAATTCGAATTTTGATTAACATACCTCTTCGGCTTTACTTCCGATATTAAATCGAACCGGAAGATTGAGCATTAATTCCTGACATTTTTTTACATGATCTTCGGTTGTAATTTGTCCACATTTTGTGCATGTAATATTTGTTGGTTTTGAATCTTCCGTAATTATCAATGCTTCATCACATAGCTTATTTATACAAAGTATTGATGTTAAAATAGCATCCGAAGGATCCATACATCGTTCACATTGACAATCAAAATACCTCAAATAATCATTTTATCAATTTATCATCTTATCATCATTACCAAATAATTATGTGTTATTTTATCCTTTCCATGAAGAATTTAAACTTATCAGCAACATTATATATGATATATTAAAATTGAATTAAATACTACAAATAGAATTAACTTCCATTTGTAGACATAGAATTTGTTAATTGCTGATCTTTGCGATAATTATTTCATTCGAATAATTAAATTAGCTCCTATAAAGAAATGATATATGCAAATACCATTTTGACTTAAGCTCTTTTTGACGCTGATAACGTGATCGGCCAATATCAATATAACTGATATACGCTGTATGTATATCAGAAGCATTTGTTTCTGAAGTTAATGGCCTTAAATAGGCATGAAATCCATCAAAAACAAGCGAACAATTTGGACGACATGAATGATCATAAACGGATACGCCTAAAAATAATTTTATTTTGAACTTTTAGAAATTTCAAAAAAAAATATTATTTTGAACTAATGTACTATTTCCAGAAGGTAAGAACAAACTTTGTTGCATTATTATTTTAATTTTTCGATCAAAGGTCAAAGGTTGGAGAGGACTATAGTTATATTTCAGAACTTTAAATCAATTATATTTTACGCATACACTTTTCTCTCTTTATCTCTCTCTCCCTCTCTCTGTTATTCATTTTGTCAAAAATTTTCGTGCTCTTAAAATAAAACAAAATAGATTTAAGAAAAACTAATGTCTGCGAAATTTTTACATTTCTCGCTTATCTATTGTCTTCTTGTAATTAGCTATTTGAAATTAAAATCATCCTTTAGTAGAATAATTTGACATAAAAAAGTTTTAAATGAGATAAATTTACTTAGGCTAATTAAGCATTGAAGAGCTTAGGCTTAAGCTAAGAATTTTAAATGAGATGAATTAATTTAGGCTAATTAGGCAATGACGAACTTGAAGCGAATTCACTTAGGTTAAAGCTAAAAATTTATGTAATAATTTCAGAACAATTAGTTAGTTCAAGAATTGATTTAACTTAAAATAATTAGACAATGAAGAGCTTAAATTAATTAGACAATGAAAAGCTTGAAGTGAATTAACTTGAGTTTAAACTAAAAATTCGGGTAATAATTTCAGAACAATTAGTCAGTTTAAAAATTAATTTAATTTAAAACAAAAGAAAATTAAAAGAATCAATAAATATACCTAAATCAAGTGCTAAACCAATTTCATCACCAGCATTTGTATGTATTGAATGTGAATTAATTGTTGTTTTGCAAAAAATTTCAAAAAATTTCACTTTTTCAATCATTTCATCCTTTCGAAATATTGCCATTTTGTTGTAAATTTTTTCAAAATGATCATATTTAGGCTGTAAAGAAGATATTTAGGCTGTCAGGAAGATATTTAAGCTGTCAGGAAGATATTTAAGCTGTCAAGAAGCTGCAAAGAAGATATTTAAGCTGTCAAGAAGCTGCAAAGAAGATATTTAGGCTGTCAACAAGCTGTAAAGACGATATTTAGGCTGTCAAGAAGCTGCAANAAAGAAGATATTTAGGCTGTCAACAAGCTGTAAAGACGATATTTAGGCTGTCAAGAAGCTGCAAAGAACATCTTTCTTTTCAATTTATTTTTATTTAAAATTAATTCATTTATTTATTTTAAAATTGCAAAATTTACTTTGTGATAAATTTGAAACTTTTCTTTTGCAATTATTTTTTTAAATGAAAAAATTATTTCAACAATATGGTAAGTTTTTTAATGCTTAACAATTAATATCATTACCTTATCATTTCGAATATCATCTTGATGATCCATTAAATTAATCCATTTCCTATCTTTCTCCCATTTATATTTATCACCATTTTGTTCGATGAATAATACCTTATCGATTATTCGACTGAGAAATAACACTTCGGTAAGTGGTAAATTTGGAAAGACCATTTCTAAACGTTGACATTCGGCACGATGATATTTCTTCCATGCCAAACATTGACATTCCTTAATTAATTAAAATTGCACTTTAAATTTCTTAAAATAATAAATTTCGTAAAATAAATAAAATTTAGAAAATAATTAAAACATTGTTAATATATAAATAATCAAAGAGTAGTAAATGAAAAAATAATTCAGAATGGAATTATTTGAATTTAAATGAAATTGGAAAGAAAATTGTCAATAGATATATTACAAAACTATATCAGTGAGGTCAAAGGTTGAATTAAGAGAAGAAAAATATGTCGGAAAAGCCGAAATTATCTTATAATTCGATAATGCTAAAGATATGAAAATATTTTGTAAAAATTTAAATTGTCAAAGGTTATTAGATAAAGATTTATTGTAATATTTACAAAACAAATTTCATTTCTTTGAGATTGTAACTTCGATGATTAATTATCTTCGATGATAATTATTATCATTTTATCATTTTAATTCAATCGGAAATTATGAAATAATTAATTTTAATATTTGATAATTTTTTATTTATAATGAATTTCAAAAATTCACTTTAATCATTGATGCTAAATTATTTATAAATAACGATCTTCAACAGGAAGATATTGGCGATTTTAGTTAACTCTTATTCAAGCCTGATTTTAATAAGTGTTTTAGATGTTCTAATACATTAGATTATCACTATAATAAATAATCCCAAACTATATTCTCCTAAAATAATAAATTAACTTACTGATCGATTCTATCATTGATAAATCACTGATAATAATTATATAATATCTAGGAAGAAAATTATCAAATTACCTAACTGATCGAATCTATTATTGATAAATCATTGATAATAATTGTATAATATCTAAGTGGAAAGTTATCAAGTTATCTAGCTGATTGATTCTATTGTTGATAAATCACTGATAATAATTATATAATATCTAGGAAGAAAATTATCAAATTACCTAACTGATCGAATCTATTATTGATAAATCATTGATAATAATTGTATAATATCTAAGTGGAAAGTTATCAAGTTATCTAGCTGATTGATTCTATTGTTGATAAATCACTGATAATAATTATATAATATCTAGGAAGAAAATTATCAAATTACCTAACTGATCGAATCTATTATTGATAAATCATTGATAATAATTGTATAATATCTAAGTGGAAAGTTATCAAGTTATCTAGCTGATTGATTCTATTGTTGATAAATCACTGATAATAATTATATAATATCTAGGAAGAAAATTATCAAATTACCTAACTGATCGAATCTATTATTGATAAATCATTGATAATAATCCTAAAATATCGAAGAAAAAATTTACAGAATTTTCACTAAAATAATTTAACTGTAAAAAATATAACTTATCCAAAAAAAGGCAAAAATAAAATATTTACTTTAAAAGATAATAAAACATACCTTATTGCAATATTTTGCAAATTTACATTTTGAACATTTGTAAAGTTTGCAGCTATCGGGTCTTCTTAGACAATATGAGCAATAATCATTCACTTGATGATTGATGCAAATATACGCAAATGGTTCATTAAAGTAACATATCCGTTGATAAATATTGTTATCAGACGTTTTTGCTTTTGTCATCGTTTTCTAAATGATAAAAATATATCAGTTGATAATATAATGATTTATTGAAGTAATAATGATAATGGTTCATTGTAGCAATAGTGATAATTGTTTATTGAAATAATAATGATAATGGTTTAATGAAGTAATAATGATAATGATTTATTGAAGTAATAATGATAATGATTTAATGAAGTAATGATGATAATGGTTTAATGAAGTAATAATGACAATAGTTTAGTGATAATGGTTTATAGAAGTAATAACAATGATTTATTAAATTAATAAATAAATTATTATTTGAAATACAATTTAATTTCTTAAGATCAATTTTTTTGTTTTATCATTTATCTAATTTTATTATCGCAATAACTATTTTCATGCTGAAATTGTTTGATTTTAAAAAGATGCAAATTTTTTAAAATTTTTAAATTAACAAAATTTTTTTTTCTTTTTTGAATTTCAATAAATAAAAACAATAAATATAATTACCGAAAATTTTAATTAATTAAAACGAAAAAAGACATTGTATTATTATTAATGAGGAGAAGAGGTAAATTAAAAAGGAAAATGATATTGTATTAGTGAAAGTGAAGAAATGTATTGGAAATGAAGCGATCGGCACTGAGTTATTTTGCTCACAATGAAATTTGTAAAGTTGCTTGTTGAAAGTTTTTTCTTTCACATTTTCAAGAATGAACTGATGATATACGTCAGTTGAACAACAATTTTTATAAGTTAAACAAATCGATTTCAACAATTGGTTGAAATGTTCAACTAAATCTTTTTCACTGTTAACAAATTTACAACTAAAATAATATATATATGTAATATCGTTGAAAATTTTTCACATATACACAACATATGGTGTATACATATCTTGATATGAAATTTGATAAAATAAAGATAGAATTTGTTAATATTTGATATATTTGCTTAGTAATTTCGAGAATTGGTTAATTCGATATTAGCAATCAATAAAATTTCGAAAAATGTTAATATCAACAATTGCTATCACTTTTTTTTTAAACTAATTTTATATTTAAATAATATTTTTACAATTTTGTTGAAAATTTTTACGTGCAATTATATTTATATATATATATATATAGATATTGAAATGATATTTGATAAAATAGAAATAGAATTTGTTAATTTGATATTAGTTTAATAATTTCGAGAATTTGTTAATTTGATATTAGCTTAATAATTTCGAGAATTTGTTAATTCAATATTAACAATTATTAAAATATCGAAAAATGTAAATATCAACAATTGTTTTCGCTTTTTTAATTAATTTTATATTTAAATAATATTTAAAATTTTGTTGAAAATTTTTACGTGCAATATATTGAAATGAAATTTGATAAAATAATGATAGAATTTATTTATTTGATATTAACGTAGTAATTCAGAGAAATGTTAATATCAACATTTGCAACGATGATATTCAACACTTATCGATCTCTTTCTTCTTATCCGTATTTCATATTCCACGAAATGTTTTCACAAAGCAAGCAATGAATTATTATTTCAATTTGATAGGATCTCTTTCTTCTTAGCCGTATTTTATATTTCGTTAAATGTTTTCACAAAGCAAGATTTGATAGCAGCAATTTTATCATCACTGTTTAAGTATCAAATGTTTAAAGCATTCAATCAATAGCGGCAGGAAAGATAGAAATGTATATTTCCGGTTTCTGGATGATAATTTTATGATGAAATACGGAAGAAAATGATAATATTTATGAATTGAATTAGCATGAAATATTTTCGGAAAATATTTTTTTTATCGTGATATATATTTAAAGAATGATATTTCAAAGAATTGCATATTAAATATTCAATTTTGCATTCAACAATGTTATTAATCATTCATGATATCATTTAATAATTAAGATTTATTATTATTATTATTATTATTATTTACAATTCCTATTATGAATATATGATGTACTGAATTTCTACTGACCATTTATTAATTAATATTATTATTAATTACAATTCCTATTATGAAAATATGATGTACTGAATTTCTACTAACCATTTAATAATATTATTTACAATTCCTATTATGAAAATATGTTGTACTGAATTTCTACTGACTATTTATTAATTAATAATATTATTTACAATTCCAATTATGAATATATTATGTACCGATTTCTACTGACCATTTAATAATTAATATTTATTATTTACAATTCCTATTATGAATATATGATGTACTGAATTTCTACTGACCTTAAATTTATTTATTTGTGTGCTGCTTCCATTGACCTTAAATTTATTTCGTTAATCATAAAAGTATTTCGAATTCTGTTCTTACAGCCAAATAACATTTCAAATCATTTTTTAATTCCATTGATGAAAAATCTTTTCAATGTGAATATTTTAATTGCTGAGAGAATAATGAAATTAAATTTATTTGCTAACAATGATAGCTTAAGGATCGAATGACAAAGTGAAATGAATAAATGAATGATTGAACGAATGCGCCATGCGCCATCTGCCTAATCCATTGCCATACACAACAAAACCTATTTTCAAAGGCAAATATTCCACTAGTAGTTTCCAATTCCATCATTTGACGCAACAAATAATCTGCATAATGTCATCTCATATTAATAATTGCTATTGTTTGTATAATTATTTTGCATGATAGTAATGTCAAATGACAGATCCTTTCTATTTCTTTTCATTCGTTGTCACAAACGGAAAATATTCAACTTTAACTATACTTATTTATTATTGAAAATAAAATATATCATATAATATCATTGGGGAAATTCTTTCGTTTCAAAAACATACACATCCAAAAATATTAAAGTATTCAAATTAACAACGTTTACAGCGGATCAATCGGCGTCTACGTTGGATGAATTAACATCTATCCGAATAAATCAACATCTATCTATTCAGATAATTCGACATTAACTAAATCGACGTATAATTAGATGGATTAACCACCATCCGGATGAATCAACGTTTACTCGGACGAATCAACGTCGACTCAGATAATTCGACATCAACTAGATGAAATCAATGCGAAATCAAATGAAATTAACTTTGATCCAGATGAATCAACGTCCACTTAGATAATTCGATATCAACTAGACGAAATCGGCGTCTGCATCAGATGAAATTAACTTTGATCCAGGATGAATCAACGTTTATTCAGATAATTCGACATCAATCAGATGAAATCGATGTCTACATCAGATGAATCCACTCGTCAAACGGAGAAGAGTACAAGCGAAAAAAAACAACATATTTTTCTATTCATTTAAAAAAGGAAAAGTTAATGCAACACGAAAACATTAATGATTAAGTGATATGCTATAAATAATACGTCATTATTTATTGACGTATTAAACGTATATACGTCAAACAAATTTACACGTATTAAACGTATATACGTCAAACAAACAATTAAAATATGACATGAGAATTTTAATCCATTCAGGTAAAATCAATTAAAACATACTGTATCATATTGAATAATAATTATTTAATTAAATTAACTATACTTATTCATTTCAAAAAAAGAATTATATAAATTTAAAGGGAAATAAGCATTCAAATTTTTTTATCTTAGTTTTTTTCATTGAATGAACAAACGAACATCTGTTCCTTTTCAAATTCATGTATATCCATTTGTATTTGTATTTCTATATGTGTGTGTCCATGTGTGTGTGTCCGTGTGTGTCAGTGTCTGTATCTGTATAAAATCTGTCTACAACGAAAACTTTTTAATTTTTCACAGCATGCAAAAAAGAATACTTTGATGTTAAAAAGAAGAAAAAGAAAATGAAAAAGTTTTATTCATCCGGATCGGTCTCATCAAACTCAGAATATAATGTTTGATGATGGGTGGGTGGCACCATCTGCTGCTACTGCTGTTCACATTAACTTCTTCATATGAACATATCACATTAATTCATGCAATATATAATATAGTTTAAACAATAAAACAAAAACTCGCTCTTTTTCCTATTTTTGAATAATTTTAATTTCAACAAAATTTTTAATTCAAATAAAATTATTGCATTTTATTGTTTAAACAAAAATTTCGATTTTATCACAAACAAAAAGTAAACAAATAAATATTTTGTTTATTTTTTATTATAAAAATAAATATAAAATTTTGTTTACTGTAAGAGAATCTAAATAAAGAAAAATAAATAAATATAAAATCGAAATTTTGTTTGTTTTATTAATTAAAATTATATTTAATCTTTTTTAATGACAGTCTTATTTTGAAAACAATAATACTTTTAATTGGTTCTTTTTTTTGAAAAAAAATTAGTAATTTGATAAGATTATCTAAATCTATTGATTATAATGAAGTGATCTGATAAGATTATTTAAATCTATTATAATCTGTTGATTATAATGTTAATTATAATGAAGTGAAAATTAAAAAAAAACTTTCATAACTATAATTTATTGATTATAATGAAGTGATTTGATAAGATTATTCAATTCTATTATAATCTACTGATTATAATGAAGTGATCTGATAAGATTATTTAAATCTATTATAATCTATTGATTATAATGAAGTGAAAATTTAACAAAAATTTTTTATAACGATCCCTTAATTTATATTTTATGTAAATTTGAAGAGTAACTAAAAAAAAAAGTATTATATCGTTGCTGATAGCTATTATCATAAAATTGTTTATGTCACAAAAAAGTTAAAAGTTGTCACCAACTTCAAAGATATATCAAAAAATACAACAAACTAGCAATCTTCGACATCTGTCATCTCTTTCATTTTGTTTACTAAAGTGGCATTTACATTTGAAAAATTGAGCATAGCATTAAGTTGTAATAAATGAAATGAAATGCTTCTTCAACAACGAAAAAAACGTAGGAAAATAGTAATCTGATGGCTGAAATTAAGTGCAAATAAAATGCGCTTTATACTATTTTTAACTTTTCATTAAGCATTTTTAAGTGACAGTCGCATATAAATCAACCAAATGATTATAATACATATACACACACACACA